ACATATATATATACATATACATATATATACATATATATATATATACATATATATATATACTAAAATAAACTACTACTTGTATTACTATTCACGGATTTTCACTTATCGCGGGGAGACAGAACAGAACCCCCTGCAATAAACGAGGGACTACTGTATTTGATACAATATAATAATGGCCTAGCATTACTTTATACCAGAGTTTAGTTGCAGCTGCAGCACTTTTAGCTCTAATTCAGAGTGATGTTAGCGTGCTCTCCTTCCTGAACTCACCTGTGTGAACGCGATAGTGCGTCTCCAGCTGGTGCTTCAGGCTGAACCTCTTGCCACAGCCGTTGCACTCGTAAGGCTTCTCCCCAGTGTGTATGCGTTTATGGCCCCTCAGTGTGCCGTCGTCTCTGAAGCAGCTCCCGCAGAATTCACACTCAAATGGGTGATCCCCTGAAAGCACAGTCGTGTCACAGCAGCAGCTCCAGCACCAACAGAGACAGTTATTTATTGTTGGAAGCACAAAAGACTAACTTTATCCTTGGCGTGCTGCAGATGTAGCTGCATAGGTCAAGCTGTCACACAGGCCTTTCTGGACATGCGTATCAAGCGGAGGAATAATGTTCTTTCAGACGCTGTTAATGTTATGACACGAGGACACTCCTCTTTGCTGTCTGCTAATAGCTAATAAAAGTCCTTCAGACATGTGCTGCTCTGTTCTCTATACTGTAGTTAATCTATTTCTCTCCTAGGCCGAGGGTTTGACTCATCTCCAGTGACCTATGTGCCTCATTATCTCAGTGTCCACAGCAACAGCCAACTCAGAGGATACATTGCTCTCCTCATTACAGGCCGATTCTCCCCGATCCCCCACCCCACTGTGGAGCAGATGACATTTACAAAATGTTACTTCCAAGCAGAGTGGCATACAAACAAGATACGCTGCCATGGCCAAAACTCCCTTCACTTCTGTCTCCTCACATCAATTATGTATTTCTCCTGTCTAGACATCAAGCCGTCTTGACAGCTGGTAGTGTTATTTAAGGTGAAAGAAGAAAAGGGGACATCTTTTCAGTAAATATCTCTCTGTCTCCTGCGGCACTGAGATTCACCCTCAGTAGAACACAGAGACAAGTCATTTCCATTTGCTTTTCCTTCAATATTTATTTGGGCCTCCTCTATCATTTTCGGTGAGCCACACAAGAAGTGACAGCCATGAATCGCGGCGGCCCGAAGGCTGTCTAAGAACCCAAAATATAAACAGGATGAAATTGCCCAAAATATGCACCGGCCACAAAGGTACAGTTCTGTCATCAGAGAGGTGAGTCATCTTATAGAGAGCGAGAAGGAAGAGTGGGAGAGGATGCGTGCAAATTGACTAAAACCTTCCAGCCAATAACCTGAGGAAATTAACCCACATACAGAAATAAACACAGCTGTCTTTGTCTCCTCCTCAACATATGCGTGTGTTTGACACCAGCGTGTGCATGTTTTCTGACAGCAGCTGACACCACAGACAACAGCGGCGGCGCTAGTGATCTCTTACCCGTGTGAGAGCGCAAGTGTCTTTTGAGGGTGGTGTGGCTGGGAAAGGGGCGCTCACAGTGGCTGCAGATGTAGCTGTGCATCCCTGCGTGGACCTCCATGTGCTGCTGCAGGGCCTTCTGGGTCTGGAAGCGCTTCGCACACAGCAGACAGAACACCGCCATGTCAGTCCCTGGAGAACGCACAAGACACAGACGCGTAGTTATTTCAGTACCATACACAGACAGGGCCTTAAGTGGGGAAACTGGGTCACTTCAACTTTGTGTGAGTCCTCTGAGGGAAAAGCTTCTTTCAAAGAGCAAGTGCCTCTACCTAAACTAACTCCCCTACAAGCCCAGAGGCGCTCAGAGCTGCAAGATTTTATACATTCTATTTTAAACCATGAAAGTGATTGTTTTCTTTAAGAACGTTTCACACAATGCACAGCATGCCAATCACACAATCAATGGCTCCTTCCTGGTGTGTTAGATGTGTAATTATTCTCTTCGCTCCCCATCAGGAGTCAGCTCCAGCCTGTGAAGTCCTCTGTTTCTGTGCTCAAAGAGCAGCTGATAGTAGCTCCACCCTAAATGATGCCTACACTAAGCGCTCCGTGCAGAATGTTAAGTAGTGATATCAAGCCATTAAAGGCAGGACTGCAGGAAAAAACACAATCCAGTTTAATCCTGTGTGTGACCTGGCATCTCTTTGGGGCTGCTTTCCTGTTGCACAGAGCATGGAGAGGAATACAGATAGGGAGTTGCTGGCAGGGTAGTTTAAGTCAAAATGGCTTCGTGAAGAAGATCCATTGGCTGTCATACAGTCAAAGCTTGATCTACAGGCTGTTTATGCCAGAGCTCAAATCCGCTCGGGCAATTCACTTTGATGCAAATTCATGTGTGTGTTAGGACTGAGGGACGGGTTAATACGCAGCATTGACATAATGTGCATGTCCTAGAGAGTGAGGCTTTAATGTGAGATTATGAGGTCCTTATTTCTCTGTCTGCTCAGGTTGCAGATCATTTACAATGTGAGCAGGTCCCATTGCTCCTGACTCAGATTCAATCAGACATCTCCAGCGGAGGATCATTAGTAAACAGAGGACTGTGCCAGCACTTCATTGGAATTCAAGTGGGGTTGCTGTGTCGCATTTAAAATGCAGTCTGATGAGGTCCACTAAATCAAATCATTTGTTACTGTTATTGAAGTGCCTTGAGGCAACTGGCAATTAAATTGGAATTAACGCAGGGAAAGGGATACAGCACACTCATACTAAGAGGGGAGAGTGTCAGACACTTGCTTTGGGTTCAATCAAGTTAGCAGACAGACAAGTCTGTTCAAAGAAGAAGAAAGAAGCAACAAATCAAGCAAATTCACTTTTTAAAGGATGGACTCAAACACATTTGTGGAGGACTGTACTAATCCATACATCGCCATTTGTTCAAACAAAGCAAGACATTTGAAGAATTAACATTTCACACAGCTGAACCTTTATAATCGTTTTGGTTCTTTCTGAAACCAAAACCGGAGGATTCTCAGCCATTAACAGAGAGAAGATGGGATGAAAGAGTTTCCCTGATCTCAACGATCCTCCAGCGAGGCGATGCAGTGGAATGAACTGCACCTGTTTGGCGGCTTTAGCCTGTAGATTTTTGCACAAAGAGCAAACAATACGGTTCAGGCCCTCATTGACCAAGCCTATTAGTCATAGGCTCCTCGTGCAACTCATACAAAACCTGCCTTTATGCTGCTGCCTAATGACCAAGACCCTTTCTCACCCATGGATCACAATATTTTAGTTGTAAACAAAAGGCCTTCAATTCTCACCGCCTCTGCACCCCTCCCCACTCTCTGCTTACGCTGACCATACAGGAAATCATTCAGCCGTCTAACCAGCTTCATTCTCAGCCTCATAGCTAACCAATGCCAAATTCACTTTGAATTCAGGATAATGATCCATCTGAAAATGGCTAGATATTTAAAAATCAGAAGAATGCCGTTTCTCTATGACCCTTTACTTTAGTTGGCTTGAAGATATTTGCTTTGGCCAGCAGGGGGGGTGCTTTCTATTCCAGTGTGACCATCTTACTGCTGCGTTCAGTTTGTTGAACAGAGCCCTCAACAAACTAAACAGCACACAATTCACTTTGTAGATTTACCACGACTTTAAGTATGCTCTTTTTAATATTTTTGTATGTATTAACTACATCTTGTTGTAAGTGCCAGTCTCAGAGCAGCTTGTGTACTTTTCTCAGTTGGCTGCGAAAGTTTAGTTTCTCTGTGGAGGTAAACCGTTACTCTCTGACACACTTGATCCTTCTGTCACCGACAATACTGAAACTTGAGAATAGAAATGACAAATATTCTGTCACAGGAATCTCACTCTTGATCTCAGGTTGACACACAATGACAACAGCTCTGCAGTCGTTTCATTCCTCGCCACTGATGGCTGAAAATAAAAATATACCAAATGATGTCTTGAAGTGTAAAGAAAAAACCTTTGGAGCCAAAGAAGCGTTTGTGTGCGTTAGCGCTGGCATTTCGCCTCACTTCGCTCTCTGTTAACTTTTCAAACAAAAAGGTTTTTGCGGTCGTCAAGTTTTTTTTTTTTTTCTTCTCCAGTAAGCTTTGGCAAGAAGTGCAGAGGAGCTGCTTTATGAGAATACGCTCTAAAGTTTGCCCCCTGCTTTCTCACCCCTAACCACACAATGGGCTTGGGATTTGACCTTTCTGAGGCGCAGGCTGACCCCTCTGACCTCTGCCCCACAGTGGGGTAAAATACCATGCAATCAATGGTTTTTCTCAAAGGCTAGAGAGTTGACTGAGCATTGGGTTCAGTAAGAGTGGGGGCTTTAACAGTGGGAATAATGATTTCCCTTTAAGCAAACCTGCGTTTACTGTGTGTATTATAGCACAGAGCTGCTCATCTAATCCATGATTAGGTCAAAAACTGAAATGGTTTAAGGTTGTAATTCTGCTTTAGCATACCTCCATTAACACGACATGTATGCTCATGTGATTTAACGTGGTCTGCCTTCATACAGCTGCCACTTATTCAGTCCAGCTGAGGTGGGAGCCAGCCAGGCTCTCACGCTGCCTAAGAAACAAAACCATGTGTCTAGGCAACCAGATAGGATCATGGTCCTCGTTGGGGTGAAGTGTTCAAGCTAATCCCTTCATTCACAAATAAGCGCAGCCTGTTTCTTTTCATACAGGCAAACAAAAGTTTCCCACCCTGAGAATTGGGGAGGAAACCCACTCCAAGTCGAACAAAAAAGACAGATCAGCTATGACCACAAATCTGTACGATTTTATCTGCGCTAATCCCAATTTGTGGCTTTCAGCGCCCACAGACTGATCACATTTGTGAACGATTTCCATATTTGTATATGAAACATTTTATTAATTTACAACAGCTGGATAACTGAACATTCTTTTTAGAATCAGATGAAATTAGTTTTTTTGTTTTAGAAAAATCCATCTAAAAAACCATCACTAGCTGCCTTCATCCAGATAAATTTCACATGGATTTCACAGTTTGTAGTGTTACATCAGTGCTGATCATGTCCACTAGTGTGCAGTGTCAAAGCGCAATAAACTCTGTCCCCAGGCTCTGTTCAGTGTACACAGTGTGTGTGTGTGTGCGTGTGTGTGTGTGTGCAAGTTGGCTCACTGCAACTGTGTCAGCCAGTTAAATATAAACAATCACACAGGCTACATAACGTCCAAGCCCTCACATGACCCATGTGCACTCATGCTTGTTGTAAGGGTTCATGCTGTAGGCCCCACAGAGATGTGACTCTACGATCACACACACAAAGCTACAGTACCTTAAACAACCCCGGGGCGCTTATCAGCAGACTGCTAATCTACCCGAGTGACGAACAACCGACTCAATAATTAATGCAACAAGAGATGCGTCGCTTGTGTTTAAGCACTATTCCACAGTCCGGTTCATCGAGGTCACGCGTGGCTTTACTCTCCTCCATTCCTAGAATGTTTACAATATTCTATACAAATATCAGGTTTTGCATAAAATGGCAGCCTATCATGGTGCAAATACATACTGAGGATGTAACGAACAAACACAGCTCAGTTCAGTTTAAAGCTTATAGGAATTAAAACGTGGCATTACCGGGAGGGTGCAGTGTGATGACAGACACACAATTAGGCAAGCTAAAAGGTCTGCATTAAGAGGGCTGCATTAGAAAGCCTGGCCTGTATTTGAATAGACTACAGAACTGTTTAATTAGGGTTTGGACAGAAGGTAATATTATTCACTTGATGAAGCAGCCCGTAATGTGTGGAAACTGTGCAGCTGCTGTGAGTACACAAAGGCACCGCACTTATGGCCTGTTCCTAAAGGCAAGGTGGCTAAATGGTCAGCCAGCATGTTTTGAAGTACATTAAGTTGATTTCTATGTGCGAGTCTTCCAAAATTGAATGCGTGGCGCCCCCGAGTCCTAACTTGGTTTGATGAAACAGACCCCATTGTTGTGAGAGCGATTCGGAGACAGATCCATTCTTTTATTTTGGGCACTGACAACTAGGTCAGAGGAGATGGTGACAGGGCTGTGGTGAGGAGTAAACAGCAGCACATGATGTTGTTGTCCTCTTACTCCTGGCACCCAACACCAGCAGCAATCCTCTTGCCCTCAGGAAGCCACACACTCCCTTTCCCCTCCCCACAACTCACCCCTTCCTCTCTTTGATCTCTAACTTTAGCAACCCACGGCCATTCACCTTTGACATATCAAAACAACTAAAGAGATTTCACTGTAAACTTGTGTTGCTGCCAGAATTACCAAGAAGATCTCCCACAAGTAGCATTATATCCCCTCCAGAGGCCACGGACAGTGCTGCAGCTGCCGGGGTCTGACAAGTGTTAATCTGCTAAGAGGAAACTCATTTGGCTCGCTGGTTATGTCACATGGCAAATTAAAGCAGAAGCTGCACGAGTCCTGCTGAACTACCCTGTGTGCTTCCAGAATAAAGGAACGGAGCTACATGTCTGCGTTACACCGAAGCATTTCCACTCATAACCTCAACACAGCTGATTAAATTACCTGCCGCTCATGTCATAGCCTGTGCGAGTGCGTCACAGCACACCGAGCCAAGATCATTGCTAAATAAGAGTGTAACGCCCTCCTGTACCCTGCTCTGGATACGCTGCCGAGCAGAAACCGAACTCTGGGTGTTTACAACTCTGGGAGACGAGGGTAGAAACTTCTGGGCATCGTTAACACCCCTCCACGTCCACGACCATTAAGTATTCATTCTGTGGGTGCCACCTGGAGTTACGGTTACGTGCCAGCACTCCTGAGAGGGTTATCACATTTCTCTGACAGTAGCAGAAAAGGTGTGGATCCAGACACTGTCGGCCATATGTAACGTCTGACAACAATGCAGCTGTATTTTTCACTGCCAAGAATGGAGAGCAGCAGGCTTCAAACTACAGGTGTCGACAAACGAACTGCTTCATAGTCGTAAATAAAGTCATCCCTGACGGATAGTAAACAGTTTTTTGTAGAGGTGCACCGATTGTTTTCTGGCCGATCACCGATTTCTAAAAAGTCTGACCTGCCGATACCGATTTTTGTTTTATAAGCGACATTGTCAGGTGTCATAAGGTCACAATGCACCTTCAATTTTTAATCTTATTGTATTGAAAAACATACACTTGAACAATATCCTAGAAACAATACAAACTTGTTTTAACTGGCCATGAGGTAGTGCTCTGAAATATAAATGAAGTTTAGACAATTGTTAAAACCACAAAAAAATCTGTAAAATCGGTTTCTCGTGTAAATATCGGCCAATCTCAGATTTCCCAAAATTAAGGAAATCTGGCCCGATAAATCATCTGGCCAATTTATAAGTGCACCCTTAATTTTTTGTCTACTTTAATCATGCAAACACTATTTTAGTGTACAAAGAGATAATCTACTTGAAAAAATAGTTCATTTATCTGTTTTACTTTTAAAAAATCAAATTAATTGGGAATAAAATTAGTTTTAGAGAATTAACAAATGCATTTATTTGTCAAATAAAATATGTTAAAGTTTTAGGACTTGGTAAATTTTTAAAACAGACACACGTATAAATAAAATAAAAAAATAATTACTGCCTGACAAGTATTGTTTGAAAAGAAAGAGAATTTGTGATTATCACTAAAAATGTATGGCGTGTGTTTCACTTAATGAAGAGACTTGTCTGTAACAATTACAGTGATGAAAGAATATAAAACATTAGGTATTTAGAAATGTTAGAAATTATTTATAAGTTTGTTTTTTAGAGTAGGAAGAGGCAAAGTTGAAAAAGATGAAAAAAAAATCTCTGACATGGGATTAAAACAGTTTATTTAGAATATTTTGTTCCTTTTCTTTGAGCTCCTTGTAAGCTTTGTGTGTCTCTGAAAATCTTTTTTTATTTTATTTTAATAACTGCGTTAGCTCCTCACGTTATTAAGCCCATGCTCATTAGATTTAATACATTTCAAATATGGATCTAAATAATAAAAGTAAATCAATTTAAAGTGTTTCTGGATTTAAAACGGCTGTATTAAACACATTTTTTTTAATTTGATTAATTCAAATACAAAAGCTTTGTTGTGCGTAAGGTACATACTTTTACAGCTTTTATGGCGTTCGGTGGGTCTGGATGCCACGAGATGTTAGTGGGTGAAATGTGAGAGGACCTCCCACCTTCCTGTTGCTAAATTATGGAGCATCATGACAGGAACAGTTTAACCCAGCCAGCATGACAAGCAAGTTCTGACCCATGATCACAAGTCTCGTCGTCACGGCTTCCTCAACAGCCCCCTGCATGCCTACCAGGTTAAACATAACCCGTGTGTGTGTCAGTGCATCTGATTTTAAATACCTGTGTGTGTTTGCCTGTGGGCTTCCAGAGCTTCCTCTGAGGAGAACGTCGCTCCGCACTGATCGCACACCAGCGCCTCTGCAGGAGCTGTAGGTGACATCAAACCCATCAGGATGCATCTTGGTCACACATCAGCACAAACATTGTCTGACTCTTATTGTCGCTAATTTAAAGAGAACACAAGAGAGGGAGAAAATGCAAAAAGGGAGTCACCAAAGCGTGCTTCTTGTACGCACTTGTGCTTTTCAGGAGTTAACAAAAGGAAGCGAATGCACGCAGTACAAAGGAGCGGAGGAAGCTGCCATAAAAACACACAACTGGGGGGCAAACAAAGGCACCAGACAGGGTGCAATGGCCCTTCTTCTTGACAAAAAAGAGCAGAGCTGAAGAGTTTTATTTACCGTGGCCTGTTATCAGTCTCTGAACAGTGAGCAGACTGTCTGCCTGAGAGGCCACAGAAGGACTGGGTGTTCTCTGTACAGCAGACGCTTCCCGCCTGCGGCACATCGCTTTATCACCAAATAAAAAAAAGAAAGGAAAACACACACACACACACTTCAGAGTCAACACCCCAAATCCCATCACATGGACTGTAACTTCAGTTCCCAGGTCACCTCTGGAGTGCCCTTGTCTGTTCTGATGAAGACATGAAAGAGACGAGCATGCATACAGCTGAAACGTTCAGCTGTTGTGCACTCGCCTCACACCTGCGCACACACACACACACATGCACACTTTCTCCACCTCTCACACGCGCAGCTGTTTGGACGAGGATTGGCTCTCACTGAGATGTAAATCGGTTGCGGATCCATACTGGCCCTGGGCTCATTCACTGATCTATTTTCTGCTCAGCTGGCTTTAAATGAAGTTAAAATGACTCATTAAAACACCCACAAGCTTGGGGAACCGTGCACGCCGCAGCCTAAATGTGGTCCTCTTTCAACTCTTACCATGCCTCTGTGCTCAGACAGTGTGCCACTGTTCCTGGAGCTGCACGCAAAGAACAACAACAACAACAAAAAAGAGGCTCAATCTGCTCATTTCTAAAAACAACACTTTTTGAAAACAAGCCGCCGCGTTTCGTTTTGTTCCGCGGAACAAAAATAAAACGTGAACGAGCGCGGCCGTGTGTAGTAGTAACAGCGGAGCTGCGTTGTGGATCCTGATGCTGTTTGACGCCGTCCACTGTGCTGTGTGCGTTGTGTTGTGAGAGATTGTGTGATAAGGGAAGAGGAGAACATAGTGCATTGTCTTGTGCAGTCAAAGGCACGGAGTGTGCTCTCATCCATAAACCATCAAACTGTCTCCAGACACGGCTGCAATCGTCCTCCATCAAAACACTTTGTCTGGCATACCAAAATAAGAGCCAGCATCGAGCTGAATACCAAATCAGCCCATTAGAGCGGTGGAGCACTCGCTCCTTAGCAACCAGCGGGATCTAAGCCCGCTATACTGAAATACACTGTGACAAAGAAATGAGATCCACATCTCTTTTTTTCCTCTCTCCTCCAGTATTATGGGGTTGACACATTGGATGGGGAGAGTTTATGCAGAAAATTCAAATTCGGTTAAAGGTGTTGCTGTTGCGGATGTCACTGCGAATTGTAAATCAAAGCGTGCTGTGAAGGTCTAAGAGTGATGCAAAACAATGTTTGTGTTTAGGGCTGAGCAGAGGGTACAGAGGAGGAAGAAAGGGGGAGACGCAGGTGAGGTTTAAAGGAGCAGCTTCTCTCTCGTCTGTCAGCGGCGTGTCGTTTCCAACAGTCCTCAGAGAGCAGGCGGAGAGGACAGGGACTCAGCCTCGTCTGTACACAGATTCAAACAGAGGTTTCTGTTTTAGTTTCATCTTTAGTCTCTGATCCCCCCCCCCCCCACTCCTCCCCTCCCCTCTTTCTCTATTTTGGATAAAGTAGCTGGGAGAGCAGTCAGGTCTGATTAAGTCTGCATTTGGGTACAGTGTGTTCCTGGACACACATCTGCGAGCGAGCCATCACACACGCTTCGGAACACTGGCAGAACACCCAGGCCTGCCGGCAGCTGATGATGTCATCACTCAGAAGGGGCAGAGCTGGCGAGCCGCCAAAGTCTCCCAAAAAAAAAAGAAAGAAACGATTTAAACTGAGAGAGACAGGAGAGGAGAAGAGAGGGGCGGGACGTCGACTTAAGGCATTAACCGCTGTGGGAGGGAACCGGGGGGGTGAACAGGTGCATCTGAAAGGCCGCTGCACTGTATCAAGAGGGCTGATCAGCCCCCGAACACTCCAAGACGACTGTGTGAGAGTCACTAAATACCTGTGTGCGACAGCATGTGCATCCTGAGCCGCATGCTGTCCTGGAAGTGTCTGCCACAGTATTCACAGCTGTTGCCCTTCTCCTCATTATGCAGCCTCCTGTGAAGAGACGAACACTGACGTGAGTGAACGCAGATAAGAACGTCGTGAGAACACACTTGTAATAATTTCATTTATTAGATGAGGACAGCGCTCACTGATCTGCCCCACAAAATATATAAAAATTTTTTTTTTAAAAACGACTAAATGAGCTCCAGTTAGCACATCAGTATAGTAACTCCTTTTCTTTGAGGCCTCCCAGACCTGGAAGCATCATTGTCCACACAACAAGAGGAGGATGTTTTAATTCTGACAAGAATCCCTCACTGAATGCAGCATCATTAGTCTGAGAGGCCCTTGGAGTTGTGAATCACAACGCATGAATGCTAAAAGAACCCAGACAATAGGATATCTGGCTAATTTCAGAGTGCAGACATATGCGTGCTTCCACCCGCCAGCACTGCACACACACACACACACACACACACACACACACACACACACACACACAAATACACAAAGTCACATCCCAACAAAATAAGCACACACACTTCTCCTGCGACTGCAATGAAAAGATGATTCGCTGAAGCTTCGCCGGCAGCGAAACCCATCATATCATATCACACACAATCCAAGCATGCGAGGCATCTGTACTGTTATCCTTATATCACCCCCCACCCCCACCCCCGCCCCCCCCCAACAGCGAGCAAATAGACTAAAAAGAGGCTGAGCTTAAACACACTGCGTGAGTAAAACGAATAAAAAAAGAAATCTTGAGCTGTAATGTAAAGCAATAAAATTAACATAATTCAAACAAAATTAAACAGTTTTTGTTTTCTGACCTTTTTATAGTTTTGGTGACCTCTGAGGTTTGTGGGTACCACTTCACAATAAGGCTCCCCTTATAGATGGCTAATAAATAGTTTATAGATATGTTATTAATTCCTCTATAAACACTTTATAAATCAATAACAGATTATTAAGACATTTATTAAGGGTGACGGAGACAAAACTGACTCGTTTCTTGCCAAATCTGTCCACCTATATATTTCATCTAGAGTTGTTATATTAAACATTTCACTGTTACTACCTTGTAAACACAATAAGCATTTGTAAACCTTTTTTTTTAGCATATAATAGTGTACTTTATCACTGCATTATAAATCTACAACTAATATTATATCCTAAAAAAATAGGTTTACAAATACTTACTGTGCTTACAAGGTAGTAGAGGTGGAAAGAGTATTGAAAATTTGTACTCAAGTACAAGTACTGTTACACCACTTAAATTGTACTCAATTAAAAGTAAAAGTACTGGTATACTTAAGTAAACGTACAAAGTACTCTTCTCAAAATCTTCTCAGTGTTGATTACTTTTTAATCAATTGATGTTTTATTGTGTTGTCAACAGAAATCATTCAGTTTGATTTACTGTATATAATATACTGTATATAATATACTGTATATAATATACTGTATATAATATACTGTATATAATATCTACATTCAAAGCTCAGACGCTCACAAGCTCCGTCTTATTTTAGTACCAGACAAACCGATGGCAGTAACAATATCTAAGCTCTTTGAATCCTTAGCCAAACTAATAACCCACCACACTTACAAACAATAAAAATCAATATCATACATGTAAAAACCTCATGTACCACAATATGTTTTTAGAGATTAGATGCTGAAGTCTTGTAAGCTGCTATCATCGTAGAGATCAAACAAAGTTTACATCTGGACGCCGTCTCCTTTTCTGTTCATGAAAACTTCCTCCAGGTACGTCCACGTGCACTCGTCCTCAGCCTTCACCTCGTCATTGTCTCTGTTCTTGTCCTCTGTCTCCATTTTGGCTCTTTCTCCAAATCACTGGTCCATAAATGACTCTCTACTCTACAGAGTTGTCCTTTACTTACGTCATAGGTAAATGTCGCGTTCGCGATCTGAGAGTTTTACTGGATACAAAGATGAACAGTTTGAATATTAATTCAAATTGCAGCTGTACTCAGTAACAACTTCTGATTTTAAAAGTAGCAAAGTCGATTACGTCGTCTAAATTATACTTAAGTATGAGTAAAATTACACACTTGAAAGAAATATTCATAAAAGTACAAATACCCCAAAAAATCTAATTCATTACAGGAATGTGAGTATTTGTATTTTGTTACTTCCACCCCGCAAGGTAGTAACTTGGTGTGAAACGTTTAATAAAACAAATCTAGATGAAATATATAGGTGGCAGATTTGGCAAGAAACTGGTCAGTTTTGTTTCTGTTACCCTTAATTAACGCATAATAAACAAATAATTTATAAAGTGTTTATAGAGGAATTCATAATGTATAAACTATTTATTAGTCATCTATAAGGGGAGGCGTATTGTAAAGTGGTACCCTAATGACAAATCAACAGGAACTGTTGCTTCTTGTATTACAGTTCAGTTCTCATGTGTCTTCTGTGATCTTACACTCATAATAACATTTTATTTCATGTTGACACTTTGAAAGATCCTGAAAAGACAAATGAACTCCTGCAGTGTAAACTGTGCCGGGAGATGCTTTCTGAGTAACACCAGGAAATGTCAGTGTGCAGATCAGGTGTATGCTCAGTGACCTGGTTACAGACCTACAGCAACTTCATGACGTCCTCCGGCGGCGGCGCCAACGCAGCTCCTCCAACCTGCGGACACTCGTCAGTCTCCACGAGTCAAGAACGCGCATCACTAAACTATCCCACAGGATCCACCCCCCCCCCCCCCTTCTTTTTTGAAGATCTCGAGTGGCACGCAGCTGAAATGTCAGCCGCAGGCGCCTACAGGGGGAAGGCTGCGATCCCAACCACGGGTTAGCAGCACATTAAGACTCGTCATGTTCAGAATGATTAGCGACGAGGCGAATGCTGCTCTGTCCCCGCCATCCTAAACATCTGCAATCAAGTTTTTCAAGGAAGCGGTCCGTAGGTTTTTGCATCCAGGGACGAAATAACAAACGTACGAGCTCATAAATAAAGCAAGAACAATCAAACGTAGGAAGACAGCTCGAGAACAGAGCGAGTCGTGGAGCAGAAGTTATCCATCATGTTGCTGAGGCGTCCAGCCTGGTCCCTGCTGAGACGCTTCTCTCCGTTCATGCTAAGGAATGCACATCAAACAGCCCGGGAGAGACGCTCTGTTGTGTAGAGGCACACGTTTGTGCAAATAATCAAAGGGAATTTTAAAATATAGGGCTTTGTAAATAACAACGCTTTGTCACACCAAGGCCTTTTTATATCAAGCCCCTCACAAAGAGCCAATTTAAAACTTCCCGTTGCAACGTTAAGACACGAGCGCAGGTGTCCCTCAGAATAAATGAACATGTTTACTGTTGCTCCTTCCACTCTTTGATTCATAAAGATATTAAAATCATCTGTTCGGATTGTAAAGATGATGTTTAAAATATCCTCTTTGTTTTCAGCCATGCTGTATGTGCACACATCAGCCTGCCCAGCTCTCTTATCCATCTGTTGTTTGACACTCTGCAGCCGGACGGGGGGAATGCGTTGATGCTGAAACTTCAACTGTCCTGATGCTGCTCAATAATCCAGGTAGATGAATCTGCTAATCTGCTGGTGACATCCAGAACTAGCTGTTCACATGTAAAAGGAGGACCATCGGCCTAACAGTTGATCAAAGTGCCCTGATGGCCACTTGCTATTCACAGAGGGCTGAGTGATGCAATAACAGCATTGTAAGAGAGGGACAGTTGAACATGGAGACCCTCGCCCAGTTTAATGATGCACGGGTTCTCTTCACAAAGACGGCGTCTTTCGCTCCTCTGTCAAACCAGCGTTCCTCTCTATCACGGATGTGCACATCGTCTACAGTCCTCTCCAGGCCAGTGGTCACTCTTTCAGGGATGAAGATGTGCACATCCTTGATGAACGCTGGTTTGAGAGAGGAGAGAAGGAAGCCATCTTTGTGAAGAGAGCACGTCCATCATTAAAGATGGGCGGGGGTCTCCGTGTTCAACTGTCCCCCTCTTACAGTGCTGTTATTGCATCACTCAGCCCTCTTGTAAATGAGTCCTCGCGGCTCAGTGAGACTAGCCTGTATAAATAAAGGTTGAATGAATAAAAGCAGCCATCGGGGCACTAACGATCAGTTATTCTGCTGATGATCCTCCTTTATCATGTGAACAGCTCGTTCTGGATGCTCCCAGCAGGCTGGTTGATCCACTATGAGAAGGTGCTATTTATAAGACTGAGTTTGCTGCAGCTCCGCAGACTGAAGAAGTGTTTCAGATAAAAGACGAAACGTTTCAACAAAGAAGAATCCGTCCAGAGGACCTGACTCAACCGTGTTAAACTTAAACTGTCAATAAGATCATTTGACATAGAACTGGATTGATTTTCTCTTAAATACACCCAGTAACACCTGAGGAGTCTAAACTGTTGTGCTCATGAGTATTTGAGTTACCTGTGCTGCTCGACAGCCTGCCTGCTGTGGAGCTGAAGGCCACATTCACCACAGCACTGCTGGCCTTGAGTCTGGCTGTCGTGCCTCATCCCTGCTGCAAACTGGCCCAGCCGGCTCAGGAGCTCCCTGTGGAGCAGACCTTGGTGCAGCAGGCCGCTGTAGGCTCTCGGATCCAGCGGCACGGCCAGAGACGGGGCCACTGACACGGACACCGGCAGACCCTCAGCCGTGTGGTTGGAGCCCATCGAGTAAATGGAGGCCAGGTGTTTGTCAGCGATCCCGGGAAAACTGTCCAGAGCGTTTCCCACCACTTGTCCTCCATCTTCAGGGCCCGTGTGAAGTTCTCGAGCGCTGGTGATCACGCTGCCTCTCAGGGGCGTCCCTGGGCCGTCGTCTCTTGGCTGGTCAGACACACAGCTTCCCTCCCCGGTGCTGGAGGACCTGCCCTCACAGCTGTTGGCATCGTCCACCTGCATGTGCTCCGATTTGATACCTCTGGCAGCATCCAGAGACGAGTCCTGGGACTCCTCTTCCCTCTGACACTGAGCCTGCTGGGAGCTCTCCATGTCGACCTCAGTGTCCAGCTTGGGGCTCAGACCTGGAGCTGCGTCAGGCCCTGGACCAGGAGAGCTCCTTTCTGTCATGTGGTACAGTGCCAGGTGGTGCAGGGCGGTGGGAGTGGTGCAGTTGGTTCCATCCTGTATGGAATGCTTCTTGGACATCAACATGTGCCTCCAGTGCCGGGCCCGGCCGTGGTCGCTGTGGTTTCCAGAGCTGTGATTCCTCACCGCCACCTCCTCGCTCTCCTCCGCCTGGATGGTCTCCAGCACCTTCAGGCACTGCTCCTCCAGGTACTCGATCTCCAGGATCTCTGCAGCATACAACAGGTCATCCAGGTCCTCGGCCGTGGCCTGCAGCGAGGCGGTGTAGGCGTACTCAAGAATCTGCTGGAAGGTCTTTGGGGACAGGAAGTCCAGGGCGTAGCGCAGGCTGCTGCGGTGGAACAAGATCTCAAACATCTTGCTGGTGCAGGCCAGGACGGTGCGGTGCGCCGGGAACTCCTGGCCGTCCACTGTGATGATGACGTCGCACAAGGTGCCGGTCAGGCGCATCTGGTTGGCCCGCTGCAGGAGCGTGCAGGGGTGAGCGGGATTGTTGAGCTGGAGGACACCCATGTTTGTCGGAGTCGGACCGCTGCATGAGGTGTGGCTGTCCCACAGCTTCACTTGCCTTCAGCTGGTTGCAGCTCTGTGGTTAGGTGGTGGGAAAAACAGCAGATCGTCAGAGTCCAACTGGCTCACAAACAAGACATAAAAAAGGCAGTTACTTCCACTCCGATGAACACTTTTATCTAAACCCAATCAAAAGGAATACTTTGAGACTTTACGAAGCAAAGCAGTCAATTTTTCATCATATTCTGTGAAATCTAAAGTCCCCAGTGGCTCCTTCAGAGGTCTTGGTTGATGCACGCTACATGTTTATGTATTTTAATTAAGAATCAAAGGCAGACAGCAGGTCGATGAGGCAGAGCAACAGTTTCCACTGCAGGTGATTAGTCTGAGGTCTCGTTGAGCGCGGTCACGTCGCTGGAATAGCGTCTGCATACTGAGAGGTGACGGTTCAATTTGTCAGGCTGCTCACACACACGCGCGCACACACACACCTATCTGCTCTCAACAGGTTGGCTCGCTTTCCCCATACAATAAGAGCTGCCTCTGATTCTGTGAAGGCTGTTAAGTTCTCAAACTCCCACCAAAATAAAAGACTTTATTGTGGAAACTGGCACCAGTATTTAAAGCGGGTTGTCAGTTTACTCTCTGAATACCTGGATGATGATTAATGTGTGTGTGTGTGTGTGTGTGTGTGTGTGTGTGTGTGTGTGTGTGTGTGTGTGTGGGGGGGGGGGGGGGGGGGGGGGGGGGGGGGGGGGGGGGGGGGGGGGGGGGGGTGATGCTGACAGACCGCATCCTCAACTCACCGCAAATCTCGGAGCGCATCAGGTGCGGACGCGCAGATCCGCCTTTATTATTATTATTTAAACACACCGAGACGAATGGAGGCGGATAGAAACTGACCCGGTTCGACCCAAACGGACCTCTGGGTTTTCAACACTTTCAACATAAGTTTTCAAAATCCTTAAAGGAGAGAGGGGAAAAAAGGCGGCGGTCAAACTTCCACATGTCTGAGGCGCGTCAACAAGAAGCCCAGAGGAATCAGTCTTAGAATGAGTGACACTGAAAACTAGTTCACTGAAGCGACACAAACTGGAGCGAATTCATCTGTTGGGATCAAATCACATTATTAATATTGTTAATAATAAAAGAGGCGGCTGTGCCAGTTCTCACCTCTGGTTCCTGAAGTCCGCCGCTGATCTATCCAGACAACATCTTGCTTACACATTTCACAGAACCCGCTCCAAACTCAGTCCTGCTCCAAGTAAGCAAATCATGTCCCTGCCGCCACACGTCCATCATCAGGAGGAGGAGCGGGACTTCCGGGGAGGACTTTCAAAGTAAAAGAGCCAAGGCTGTCAAAGGAAATGACCTGAGTACTGCTCAGTATTTGTCTGTGTGGCTTCTTAAATAAATTAATAAATTATTATTTGTGGTTTTAGTCAACTATTGACTTCAAGTTGAATCCTGCTCATGTGCTCTTTTATTTGTAGAAAACAAAGATAAATAACCTGTTTTTTATTTCTCACTTATTCAATCACAGAAATATTCAATAGTATTTATTTACCCTTTATTTATACAGGTAGTTTCATTGAGTCACAAGAACTTATTTTCAAGATAGGCCTGTTTGGGAACAGATGGTGGCGGTTAAGGGCCTTGCTCAAGGGCCCAAGGTGGGGCAGATGAGGATGGAGGCAGGTGTGGGTGTTTTACCTTTTCCACCCACGTTTTAATGTTGTCAGTCTGGGGAGTTGAACCTGCAACTTTATGATCACAGGCCCATCTTCTCTAGTCTCTGCACCTCCACTCCTGGAATATATTCTCTAATTTAGTTTTGATGTGTCACGAGGTGGAAGAGGGAGGCAAAGTAATATGGTTTGTAATTATAAAAACATTTTCTGAACTTGTGCAATACAGCCTTTCACTTTGGTGTCAATTCTACCTGTTTGTTAGCAAAATATCCTATAAATGACTTGACAGGGTTTCATGAAACTACATCTAGAACAAATTAACATGGAGTCGCCCAAATTTAAGATGGCCACCACTGTTAATCAAGCTTAGACACCAAAATAGTCAGTTTTACAGATACTGAGCTAGGTTTGGTGTGGTAGTAGCCAAGAATCATTCACAATAAATACTTTGAGCTCTAAAATGTTTCGCATTAGCACACGATTGAGCAAAATGTTAGGATCACGTTTGACTAAAACATCTGGTCTGAATCTCTGGCATGAAAGTTGGCAGTGATGATCTTTATGTGTATTTTGGGAACGTTGTAGTTGTTTGCTCAGTGTCAGCTGCCTTCAGTCTTCAATGGGCGGCTGTGGCTGAGTGGTTAGAGCAGTCGTCCTCCATTGCAAGAGTTGGGGGTTGGAATCCACCAGTGGTCATATGCCAAAGTGTCCCTGGGCAAGACACTGATCCCCTCGTTGCTTCTGATGTGTGTCCCATCAGTGTATGAATGATAAAGCGCTGATTAATCTTTTCAGAGATCTATTAGAGTGCTGTATGAATGGGTAAATGAGGGCACGGACTGTGTTGTAAAGAGCTTTGAGTATCTTGATAAGAAAGGGGCTATATAAGTACATTCCATTTACAAACGATGATTTTAAGGTTTACTGTCGAGAAAAGGAGAATAAGCTGTATTTGGGATGTGCATTTATATATATATATATATATATATATATATATATATATATATATATACACACACACACACACACACACATATACACTGTATATAGTTCACTAATAAACACAATGATCTCTCCTTCTGAGCCTTTTATTTTGAAAAGAACTCCTCAGACTTCCTGTTTTGTCATGGCTGTCCTCTGCTGTGTTGACAGACTCCTCATGTCCATGGGGACGTCACTGGTCTGAGAGGTGTCTCTCCATCACAGAGACCTCTGCAGGACACCAGAGCCGGTCCACAGACAGGAGGACTGACAGAAGAAGCAGAGTTGGTCAGGTCACATCTGTAACAGGACTTCTGCTCAATGGAAAGAAATAAAATTGGGTAAAAGGGGAAGTCTGACTGAAACTGTATGCCAGACCTGGTCAATGTGTTTGTTGACACAACACTTATTTACCAGCGGCACTGAGGACTGGGATGGCATTTAAAAACATCAATTTCACATCATTCCTTAGGGGAAATAGTTTGGAAGTATTAATTACTCCAAAAACAAACCGGTGTCATGTTGTATGTGTTTATTTACACCCAGTCTTTCTGAAAAGACACTCCTGAGAAGTGTTTAACTTGCATAACCTGGTTATAAGGTGACATTTCAGCATGACAAGATGGTTCAAAACATAAACACTAAGAAACATTCTTACTGCCACCTACTGCCCAAACTACGTCATTACATGAGCTGACCCCAACAATCTGAAAAAGCTTTGAGATGGAACAAAACAAAAAAAAAAACTAATGACAAAATAGGCCAAGGCAAATTAGATTCAAAACCATTTTATTTTGTAACTGGGTTATCACTCAGACTTTACACAACAAATATTTTCCGAGTTTGACCCATTAAAACCAGAAGGAGCATCCAGAGACGGAGGAGTGAGGTGTTCTGGGAGAGTGAAATGTTTTAGTTAACAGAACTTCAGATCTGTATGTCGCTCTTTAACGTTACACCTACTGTCTAAAGCTTTACAAAAAGAAATTGTTCTTCTGCTGCACCTCGTCTGCCATTAGTTTCCCCAACTTGTCAGGCAGTTGCTCTTGGTGAAGGATTTGTTGTACAAAAAGACAAAAACAATTAAAAAGACATAAAAAACAAGCAAAAAAAAACCCACATTACAGAACACTTGAACAACAACCAGGGAGAGAAATAAAAAGCGCGTGTAATTATTCCCGAACGAGCCTCGCGGAGAACACACATAAATCAATGTGAGAACAGTTTTCTCTCTTACAAACACGGGCACGTGTACGTGCCTCGAAGTTCTGAAGTACTGACTGAATTCATGCCAAGGCTCAAAACACCTTCCCTCACTACAGCTGGCCATATTTAGTGCCGTCATCAGAGATGGACAGGTTTCATACACTACACGTGTTATTATAATGACCACATCAGTCCACTTTAGTTCTAATAATACATCAAATAAAAATAGGCTTCCTCATGACGAAGCTATTCAGGTTATCATAGAAACTGATGACGAGACGATCTACTGACACACGGGTACGGTGCACAAGCTTTGCAGGCAGGAATGGAACAGAAATGGTTGGTTTTAAAGAGTACAAAAAGCTTTGTCAGAAGTTTCCCCTTCAATTTACAACCTTTGCTATGAAGCCAGAGTGTTGGTCTGCATAAATCTGATCAGACGTTTTACCCACAAACACACACGAGGTGTAAATTTAGCCCGAGATCGCACAACATTCAGTTCATCCAGAGTTCTCCGAGCCTCGGCTGCAGATCAGCAGCTCTGCTTCGAGTCTTTCCACAAGTTTTAACAGAGAATTGTTTTAACAGCTCGAAGATAAGGCAGTGACAGACTGAGGAACTTATTTTCATTGTACTGCAGGGTGTCGTCTTTCACCTGCTGCGGGATAATCTGACAATTTATTCTTTTTGATCAACTTTATGGTTGTAATCCTAACACGTAATTTGTTAGGATCTGGACTGAAAATCCCCAGAACAGACGAAGTGAAACAAACTTTGTAAAAACTTTACAACCACTTGCAGGTCAGACATGCAGAACAAGCTACATCACAAAAAAGTCCAACTTAAAAAAAAAAAATGGCAACAGTTTTAAATCTGCACAATACAACATTAAAATAAGAAAAATAATTTATATATTTATATATAGTCCTTTTTCTTACATTTATATTTCTCATAATAATCCAGTGCTTGTGCACCAATGCAATTCAAACTGCACACAAGTAGAGATTTATATATTGATCAGGCGATCCTTATAGGCAGAAACTGTACTTATTCACCCTGACTGGTTAAATAAAACGAGTAAAAAAATTAAATAAATCTCTTATGACTTAAAAATAAATCCTGTGGGTGAGATAAACATTTCATGAACGAAACAAGGAGCAGAGTCAAAGTGCACTCTAACCAATAAACACTACCGTGTCATTAAGAGCACTACAAATGAAAACTTGCGCAGTGTTTTATTCTGGTTGGTGCTGGGAAACGCTCTACGTGAGGCTTGGACTGGCCCGGCCGCATCATACTTTGCTCTCTGTGGTGTTTGTCTGTATGAGGCTGTTGTGTGCTGCAGTGATCAGGGTATTTGGTAAGTCTCCCTCCTCCAGTTTGCCTGTCTCATCAGCAAAAAACTTCCTGCAGTGGGAAAAAAGACACATGTTCAAATTAATCACATTGAGGTCTGAGAAACAAACAGTTCAGTTGAACACAGCCTCAATGACAGTTTGACCCAAATATGTAAGAAGACACCAGTTTTAGGAGTCTGCTTACATATTTCTTCACCACCTTGACAACAGTCAGATAAAATAAACAATGACGTACCCACATACCAAACGGGCATTCCTAAACTCACAGTAAATGTTTAGCCATTACGTATGTAATGGGTTTAGTCTAATGAGCTCTGTGATTTAATATCCCTGTTTATTTGGAACAGTTTCTAGCAGCCGCCCGCAGCTCTTCTCTCCTGCAGCTCAGAGCGAGAAAACGCCAGCCGAGTCCCGGTTCTGTTCTCGGTGAGGATTTAGGGAACACTTAAAGGTTTACAGCTCCAGCCCGAGACAGAGCATCCACTAATCAATACGAGCACATTTCAGACAGAGAAAGTGTCACGTTACTATTTAACTGCCTTGTGCACAGATGCTTGTTACAGCTTTATCCAGACATGACCTGACTGCTGAGCAAAGAGCCACAAAGCAGCTCTGCCTCAGGAGGATGAGAGGGAGAGCTGCAGGTTCACTGAAGAGCTGTTAGAAACACAAATGTCTCCTAAAACCAGTGATGCACACAGATACAGCTGTCTGACTTCATCCTAACATCTGCATGTGCTGAAATGACCGACGTCTGAACAACGAAGTAACAACAGAGGAGGTTTTCTGCCAAGTTCAATTTTTTATTTTTTATTTAAGTGTTTTCTGTTAATACATTAATTGTGTTAATGAAAACACAGGAAATGAACAATCAGGTCCAGTTAATAAGGTTAAGGGAGAGATTTATTAAACTAAAATTATCTTTGATTAATAATTTATATAATACAGTAGTCCCTTGATACTTCGTGGTTCGACTTTCGCAGTTTTTCAAAATAAGATTGTGCACGAGGAAAAAAGTTTTCTCTCAGTAAGCTTATACTGTATCACCAGTCTAAAGACTACATTACCCAGAAGGCAAAGTTGCTTTCTGCTGGAGGGGAAGTTTTGATCCCATCCAAACGGTCCTTACAGTATTCATAGTGACTTCGGCGCTCATTGGATGCAGAGAGCCGATCAGAACTGGACCAAGGCTGGATAGGTCTGCTGGACCAGAACCGAGCTGGACCAGAATTGAGCTGGACCAGAACTGAGCTGGACCAGAAGCGAGCTGGACCAGAAATGAGCTGGACCAGAACCGAGCTGGACCAGAACTGAGCTGGACCAGAACTGAGCTGGACCAGATCTGAGCTGGACCAGAACTGAGCTGGACCAGAACAGAGCTGCAGAGCTGGTGAGTAAAAAGGCAGTACTATACTCACTTATCTTAAAATTATAAATTGAGTGAATAAACATTATCAGGTTATCTTGATCAGTAAACTCTTGCTAAATAAACTTTTGCTTTAGTTTAGTTCATTTAAATGTATTAGTTGACTGAACTGTTTGGGTTGTATCAACTCAGAAATCTGTTATTTGTACTTTGTGGATTTTCACTTATTGTGTGTGTGTGTGTGTGTGTGTGTGTGTGTGTGTGGGGGGGGGGGGGGGTTCCAGAACATAATCCCACGATAAACAAGGGACTACTGTATTGATAAATTTATTCAAATTTAATTCTATACATTAGTTGTTTATGTTTACCCTAAATAACCTAAATCTAAACATGATCTAGTTCTTATCTTACATTTTACATTTAAAAAGTCACCGCAAATGACAGGTTTTTCCAAATATATTTAACTTGTTGTGATTCAGGTTTTATTTAAAACAGTTTTGTGAAATTGGAACTTTTTCTGGAAAAATCAAAGTAGATTATTAAAACCTTCCATTTCTCAACTTGTGAAAAATCTAAACTTGTAAATTGCTGATTTTGCCCTAACGTCATGTTGTTGTTTTCTTGTTTGTTTTTTAACTTAATGATTTTGTGTGTCTTAAAACTGTCACAATGTGTGCATCGTTTTAGACGTAACAGACAAATAAAAGTTGCACCATGTCATTTGGAAATTTAGTTCCAGCTTGTGACCGGCTGGAAGACTATCCAGTAAATGTACCAAACCAAAAACTGAGTTAAATCAAAGTTTGTGAGGCATTTTAGAACATGTTTATGTTTTGATGTGCACGTCTGAAAACATGCTCGACTTTGTTCATCTCCAACGTGTCTAAAGTTGTAAACCCACAACGAGTAACTGTCACAACGAGCAAAACATGACAGCCATCAAACCACTTCTGTCTGCAGCATTCAACTAAAAACCATCCCATGTCATTACCACGGTTACAATATTTGATATTGTGTGGTCAATGGCAAGATGCGGTGGTGAATGAATGGGCGTACACGTTACACACACCCGCACACAAACACACACACAGATAAACCTCTAGAGGGAGCCGTACTCATCGTTGACAGGAGGAGCAGTCTTGACCAGAGTCTCTGAAGCCTCCACAACTGGGCCTGAGGGGGGGTGGTCTGCTTCGTCTCCACTGGGCCAGGAGGGGTCAGCGGGCGGGCTCTCTAAGCTAATCAGGTCTGATGGGGGCCTGGAGGGTCTTCCCGTTCCATTTGTGAGCTCTAACTCTAACTCTGTATGTTTGAGCTCTACGTTCGGAGCTGTTCGGTCATACAGGTTTGACGCTGGCGTGAGGAGATCATTGGGGACTGCAGAGGCAATGTGAGTGATGGGTAAATGTGGGGAAACATCTGCAACTAGAGAGGGGGGGTGTTCAGCATCTGGATCCTGAGCAGCACTGGTGATTTCTGAACTCACAGCAGGTTTTGTCGTGGATATAATATCTACAGTTGACTCAGTAGGATTGTCGGTGTCGAAGGCGGTAAAGCTACATGAATCTAGACCATCTGGTTTAAAATCTGGGTCTGGTTTCAGGGGGGCAGTGTTTGCTGGAGGGGGGGCAGTTTGTGCTGGTGTGTCTGTGTTTAGGACTGCAATGTTTGGTTGAGCCATGGGCTTAGTGACTGGGGGGCTTGGAGCAGGTCTCTTGGTTTCTGGAGTGGTTGGGGAAAATGTAGAAGACAGAGCGAGGGGGGAGACGGGGGGGCTACCTTTCGCATGCAGCGCAGCAAGTTTAGGAGAGTGTCTGCGCTTCGGTGGTATTGGTGTTCCAGATTTTTGAGGTTTGGGCTGTTCAGGGCTACGAGGAGGATCCTGCTCCTCTAAAGTGCTACTTCGTCTTTCTTCAAGTAAGGGGGCTATTTTAGCCTCTACAGCAGTCGAGGAGATCTCCGGGGTAGGAGGGGCCGTGTTCGATTCTGGGGTGGGGGCCGGAGCAGCTAGAGGGGTGGGTGAGGGTTCGTTGGCCAGAGTGGACAGGCTGCAAGTGAGGGTAGTGGTCTCGCTAGAGGGGCTTTCCTGAGCAGGGTCGTTTGTTGCGGTGGCTGTGTCAGAGTTGGTGGCTACGGAGGAGGGGGTGTCCAGTGCCAGAGAAGCCACCAGCCTGAGAGAGCAGGGAGAGAACAGAGACACACAGACTAGACACCAGGGTGACTGTGACAGAGGAAGGGTGGCCCGGACGAGAGCATGCAGAGGAATTAGTTGGCTTTAGAAATTCACACAAACAAAGCAACTGAAAAACAGCAGCTATTAAAGCCTAGTGAGAAAAAGAAAAGAAAAGAAAGGGCGTCATGCTGTGAGTGAACATTAAAGGATACATCCCATACACACACCAACATGGAGTACACCGAATAGGAAAACTAATGTACTAAAAAGGCACCAGCCTCCCTACACAGAACTACAGAACCACATAGAACCACCGATAAGGGTTAAACAGTACCAGTGACGATCTCATACTGTACAATCGTAATTTTTTTCAGACATGGCTCACTGAGCGTGTCGAATGGCTTAATGAATCGACCACACTTAGGAGGAATGAAGTCTTTGTGTCTTTGACTGGTATTGCTTCAACCTTCTTATAATGAGACAGAAAATCTCCAAAGCTGAAGAAGAAACACAAAATACTGTAATTCCTCTGATGGGAATAAAAAACAGAAAAGCAACAGAATCATTTGGACTCCACTCAAGAATGGCATCAACTTTTAACAAAACAAAACAAAAAGTCCTGGTCAAATTGTCTTTTTAAATAAAATTATTCTTTAAAGTGGAGTGCAACGTACAACAGCTAAAAAGACTTGAGCATTAAAGGGCTGTGTGACATATTATTTTCATCTTTTACTCACTCTGGCTTTGTGAGAGGTGTGGTTTCGTTTGGTTCGATCGGTCCGGCTGCGTTATGATTGGCTGTGCACTCGTCTTCTGTTCTGACTTCCACTATCGGCTCTTTGGACTCATCTTTCCTGCAAGATAAAGAACAGTGAAGGTAACGTTTCAGTTGATTACATCATAGTTGCCATTTTGTTGGCTCAATACGACTTGAAAAGAGGCGATGGGAGAGCATTAAACAGTGTTCAGTATGAAATATTGTGAAAGGGTGAGCAAACTATTGTGACTGCAATCACAATAAAGAATTAATTTATTCCAAAACATACATCATTTTACACAGAAAATGTTTTCTGTTTTATTTTTTCCATTAAGAAAAACTTGAGTAAAAATGATTTAAGCACATTTTAATTTGAACATTGCCAAATTATGTCAAGGTATTGGCCAACTTGGGGGAGTGGTGGCGCAGAGGTTAGAAGATGGGCTTGTGATCGGAAAGTCGCAGGTTCACCTCCCGGTACCGTCGACATCAAAATGTGGGTGGAAAAGGTGAAACACCTCCACCCTCATTCGCCCCACTCTGGGCCCCTGAGCAAGGCCCCTATCCCCCGCCATCTGCTAATGAGACTACCTGTATAAATAAAGGGTAAATGAAAAATAAAGGTATACTAAAACTGAACTTAATCTAATAATTTACCCTAGAGTTGATGGAATAACCAAGTCATTTAATCTAGGCTTAACAGGAAAACAACAACAACAACCATTTAATAAAACACCAACTCGTCCAGGGTGTACCCCGCCCCTCGCACAGTGATTGCTGGACATGGGCACTGGCAACCCAAAATGGAAGAAGCGGGTAAAAGATAATGGATGGATGGAGTAAAACACCAAAGTTCATGCTCAATAATCCAGGTATAAATCCAACAATGTTCAGTCATGTCATCTGGATTGTTTCTGTTTTTGTTGAAACGTTTTGTCCTTCATCCAAAGGACTTCTTCAGTCTGAGGAGTCACAAACAAACTGGAGTCCCACAAGCACCAACTCCCATAGTGTGTGTGTGTGGGGGGGGGGGGGCAGTTTGCTAAGATGTTTTCTGGGCCTGCCTTCTCCCTGGTCAACTCCTCTAAGGCAGCCATACAAAAATGGTTCAAAACACCAAAGTTCATGCTCAAGAAGTCCTTAGGATGAAGGATGAAATGTCTCAGCAAAAAATGAAACCGTCCAGATGACCTGACTGCACATTGTTGGATTTAATAAAACAGTTGCGTCTTATTCTTGACACAAAGTGTATGTACAAAATGCCTGGCAACAAGGAAGTGAAAAACTCTAACCTAGTTTTATTCTGTTTAGTTGAAACACTTGAAATGTGCCGTATATCTTAATGAAATCTTAGATACTCACACAAAGGCTGCTTTGCCCTCCTCCAGGCTGTGCCCTTTCGTCCCCGTGCCTGATTTGCCACAGAGGCACATGATGAGGCCACATTTGTTGACAAAGTAACAAGTGACATCCACAGCCAGCAGCAGGAGTACAAACCCCACAACAAGAATCCCCGCCCACAGCATGGTGCCCATGGAGAGCGCTCCTTCATCACCTAAATCTGCTACACAAGAAACAGAAATATAGAGAGCGCCGAACAACCTTTATAAAAACACACCCAAAATAACCAAATAAAGGCTACTGTACTAAAGTAACCACAAATAAAAGTTTAAAAAAGAACTTACCTTTAACAAAGAGACTACTGATACACTTTGGTTGTTCAGCCTGATTTTATATGCTGTGTCTGCAGGTGTAGAGTTGTGTTCAAACTTTCATTTACTGGTCACTACGAGGCTTTTATTTTATTTTTCAATGTCTAAGACAAACATTAAAAGCTCATCTATGTTCAGACCTTTTATTTGATATTAGAAAAACGAGCAGATCAAAGTTTACAGTGTGTTGCTGGTTACACGCTGGATATTTTATTGACAGAATGTCATTTCCCAGACGTTACAAAAGATATATATAAAATGAAATTAATTAGAGCAGAATACTAACTGTCTGCTAAATTCTAAAAGCTAATTATAGATGTTATAAATATTTACGTCAATCAGCCATAACAATATGACTACTAGCATCACACTAATCCTACATTTCATGAGTTCAGAGTGGGCTTCCAACTGTTTTGTGTTGTAGGAGAGTGAAGTGGAAGGGCTTTGTGGCCACTTATAGATTTTTCAGGTGCAGATTACAACAAAGAATTAAGAGTTTTGAGAACAAAAAAAAAACTAATGTAAAGTCTAGTTTGATGTTTTTCTTTGTTTCCAGTTTGATATAATTGTTTATTATCTTTAATAAGCATTAAAAATGGCAAAAAAGTACATCAGTTTTTGTAATTGATATTTTACTGTCACAACCATTGTTCCATTATGTTTGATGTTATTGTCAAGCTTCTTGACCAAACATCAAAAATATCATGAAGTCTCAATTTAAATGTTATATTGTCATAATAACCATTGTCAGGTCCAGAAGGTCTCGTTTAATGGATCTGATGTATTTTTGCCATTCAAGGATAAAACATGTCAACGTTTGTTGAAAGCCTAACAGTTATACAGCACACATGGGCATAGTATGAATACACATACACAAAAAAAGGTTCACTCGTGTCATCTGGGCAGTTTATTTTTGTGAGAAAGGTTTCATCTTTCATCCGAAAGACTTCTTCCGTCTGAGGCCTGCCACCAACAACTGTCTTATTAATAGCACCTTATTGACATGTTTCAAACCAGTCTGCTGTGGAATTCCAAGAAACTGGCTTTACACATTTAAAATGGAGGACCACCAGTCCAAAACAATCAACAATCAGTGCACAACAATCACATGTTTTAGGCCTGATGGCCAGCTTGAAACACATCAATAAGGTGCTATCTTGATGACAGATCTTGATATCAGGCCTCAGACTGATGAAGTCTTTTGGATAAAAATAAAAAAAACATTTCTCCCAGAAAGAAACTGACCAGATGACCTGATTTAACCTTTTTTAGTGATTTATTTACCTGGATGATTGAGATTACAAACCTTTTTTTCTGATGCATATACAATGTTCTCTCGTTTATCATGGGTGTTTTGGACCACGACCCCCCCCCCCCCCCCATGATAAGTGAAAAACCATGAAGTAGGGATACAGTAGTCCAAGTAGTAGTAGTAAGTAGTAGGTTAGTATATATATGAAGGCTGTATAAACGATTCCCACACTCTTGCAATGTTCTAAACAATGTTTTTAAACTCTAAATGCTCTAAAAGAGCACAGCATGTCATGACTTCAGCTCTCTGCCTCCAGCTGCACTGAGCCATCTGCAAGAGCTTTCGGCCACGCCCACTTCTCCGGTGCAGAATGTAGATATGACAACGCTGCTGGAGGAAGCTTTTACTGCCGCTGTGGGCTGCACACAGGTGCAGCAGGTGCTAAATAATTTAAAATAATTTATTTTCAATAAAAATTCCATGCCAATTTTGTGTCTCGTCCATTAATCAGCCAATTGTGTCATGTCCAAGCTAATTTTAAAAGACCGTGATAGAGCGAGACTGTGATAAACGACGTGTGAAGTAGCGAGGGACTACTGTACGCTGTTTACATGTAAAGACTTGATAGTTCCTGGCTAGGCCTGTCACAATAACACATTTTGATGAGCGATTAATTGTCTCAGAAATTATTGCGATAAACGATATTTTTTTTTAATTTAACAATAATTAATTGTCAAATTTTAGAAGAAATGTTGATTTGTTTGGCTGTAGTACCTTTTTTAACCACCTGATGGCAGTATAAGACAGTTTGAACCAAAGGATGGACAGTTGAGCAGTGTGTCTCTTTAAGAAAAATGGGAGGGAGGGCCCTTGACGTGACATGGGTTGACATGGTGATATGGCAGACGCTCGGTGTGGTTTGAGCTCTTTAGCATTTTCACTCAAAGCTTTTAATAAAAAAAAAATCAGTAAACAAGTTCGTAGCTTCTTTTTGCAGAAGAAAAACAACTTTTTACACGAACACACGGATTTCAACCGTGAATTTTGGAGTTTCGACAAGACCAAGGTTTATTCCCGAGGTCGGCCCGTTAGCTTAGCTCGTAGCTTAGCTTTTCAGCTTAGCTGCTTTTAACGATCCTAAAACGTGATTTTGGATGGTTAAAACAGATTTTAAAGAGAAAGGCAGGGGTCAGTGAAGAGCACCGGAGTTGAGCAGTGTCTTCAATAGAAAGAGAGAGACACAAAGAAACGATAAGGCCAGTAAATAAAAATGAGGTAGATACTTTTCATTCATCATGCGATTAATTTATTTATTTTTATTGTGACAGGCCTATTCCTGGCACATTATTTCCTTAAAGGAGTGTCCCATTTCATAGATTTATTTAGTCATTTACAACCCTGGATTAAGGAGCAAGGGGTAGGAGTAGAGCTGGATTTCATTGACTAGTCTATATCAACAGTAGTCCCTCGCTACTTCACAGTTCATTTTTCACGGACTCGCTCATCACAGTTTTTCAAAGTAAGATCGGACATGACACACAAATGGCTGATTGTTGGATGAGCCATGGATTGTTTATTTAAAATGTTACAGTATTTAAATTTAAATTGTTTATTTAACAAGGAGGGAGATTGGGAGTAGCAGGTGATGAGTATGATTGCAGCCTGACATGCCATGACAAAGTTTACTGAACTGGAACTTGAACTACTGTATCTCTACTTCGTAGTTTTTGGGGACAAAACCCTTGCGATAAACGAGGGACCACTGATGAAGATCAATAAGCCAAATTATATTAAAACTGAGTACATCCAGCTAGAACAGTGATGTGGCAGTTAAATAATTTTAAACAGCAACAATAATTAGATTTGTGAGATTTTTTTTACTTATTTAATTTGTACCTTTTTGTTTGAAACATGCCTCTGAAAAATCTGTTGCCTATGCCCTACTAATTTACCCCCCTATCCCAACTAGATCACCAAAAAATGAACTGGCTCACCCCTATGTCTACAACTCGTGCAGCAGGTGTAGAGCTTGGAGGAAGGAGTGAATTAGGCTTAAAATTAGAAACTGGGATTCAGTCTAACAAGTTCTGTTGGGAAACACCTGAACTGTGGCCTTCACATACGTCCAGTTTAATTTTGAAAACTGCCCACAATGTAAGTTCTTATGTAAACAAACTATTAGGTTATTACTGATTGGTGTACATTGCATACATTAAACTTTGTAGACAATAAAGTGTAAACAAGTCTGATACTGAAGCACCCTTGAAAACCTGTTTAATTTGATTATAATTCATGCATAAGAAATGTCCATAATTGTCTTCATAGAAATAAATGTTCTGATAGTAACTGTACATAATTTCTCCCTCTGTGCCAATATAAATACAACTTTTTACAGAAGCTTTCTTATTATTGTCCATGTTATTGCTCCAAATGTTTACTGTACATTTGCATCATTTTGTGAGTCATTAAAGAATAAAACAGTGTTTATGTAAACAGGTTCAGGACTCAGCGCTCACTTGGTTGCAAAGTGCTATTTTTACGTCATTTTGTTTTGTTTCCACTCGTGTTGATAACTGTAAACTGCTCCTTGTTTAGTGCTGATGACTAGCTGTGCTAATGCTGAGCCATGTGAATCTGTGGGAGACGAAGGGTTTTGTTGCTGCCTTTGGTTCAGTTCATCTGGTTGAGCTTCTTTGATGTGACGCAACACTTTCTTCTTTTCTATAACAGAGATATTTGTGACAGATAAAACCTGTCAAGGTCGTCTGTCCATTCATTTAGGGACAATTTAGAGTCACCGATCAACCTAACGCACATGTTTTTGGTCATTTGGAGGAAACCAGAGTAACTGTAGAAAACCCACGCATGCACAGAGAGAACATGCAAACTCCACACAAAAATACTCCAGACAAGGAGGCGATGCAGCGACCTTCTCGCCAAGAGGCGACAGCTTTAACCGCGCCTGTCAAAGTCAAAGAGTGAAAGTGTCCAGTGAGACAGCCAGGCCAGAGAAGAGACAAGCTCTTCTCTACTGCTGTAATGTAAATCCTGACAGTGAACTATGATAGCAGGAGCATGGCGATGAGGGACAAGATGAGTGACATCACAGTGCTGGTCACAGATGAGCAGCCCTGAGTGGCTGCGTGTGGAGACAGCACCACCCAGACCACAACGCACACAGGTCAGGGAAACGATCACGTGGCCCACCACACCAATATCCAGGTTCAGGCAACAAAGCAGGAACAATGAGCGAAGAGAATCAGGAGGGGGGGAAATGAAAGGAAAAATAGAAGAGGGGAAAGAGAAGGGCGGGAAAAACAGGAAGAGAGAAAGTGAAAATGTGTCACGTCTGAAAACCAAAAGTGAAAAATAAAATGAAGAAACTGATTTCTCGCCTTGATGGAGGAAAAATACAGCAACACATCAAAGTAAAAGCACGACACAAAGAAAGAGGAAACCACACCATGCTGACTAGAAGGTGACGGAGAGGTGGGTGAGTGGAAAATGCTTTAGCTTGGGGAATGATTTGGGGGAAAAAAGGTGAAAGGGAAACATAATGGCTTGCTGCACTCAACAGGGTCTGGCACCTATAGGGAAGTTGACAAGCTGTGTGGGTTTTCTACTGTTGGTAAAAAGCTGCTTCAGCTGTAGTGAAGACCTCAGTATGATAATTAGGAGTTACTTGAAAGACTCCTCCTTAACACAGACAAACTACTTCACCTGCCTTGTTCAAATTAAACAAAGGTTAGAAAAGGCACAGTCGTTCAAAGGAAATCATCCTCTATGGAAAGTGCCCGTCCTAATTCTGTGAGCACAAACTCAAGCTCTTACAGCCAGACCTGTTAAAACTTTAAAGATAGAAATCATTCCCCCACTGCCGTCCAGGAAATCTGTTTTTTCTCTAGATGTACTATATTTAGTTAAATTTCATCCCCCAGAGGTGCAGTTATAAATAGACTACAATGCTCAGGTTTGCAGCTTTGAGTTTGGCTCGTCGTTTCTCTGGTTCAGCTTCTTGTGAGAGAGCAGAGGGAGGATACCTGGGATGGCCTCTGGCTTCGAGGATGTTCTGAAGGACATGGTTGAAGGCTGGGACTTCCCTTTCTGATTCTCTGCCACCACGTAGACATTGTATTCTGTGTCCCAGTCCAACCCCCTGAGAACCACATGCTCACTGACACTGGGCATCCGGATTTCAGGTTTCCACTCTGTCGCCTGGACCTAAAGATAGAAACCAACACATTCAGATCATGTTCACTCTCAGCATTAGTTATGCTGCAGCTGATTTTCTCATACCCTAGATTGTTTTGCTCAAAAATAAAATCATATCTAAACTTTTTTTTAGTTTTTGCTGCAAAATAATAATAAAATAACTGAAATTGTTCACTTCTATGAGATTTAAGCCATTGAAATATTTAGCTATTAAAAATGTCAAATTCAAATTTTGCTCAGAGAAATAACTTCTAGTCATCAACTCTATTTATAAAGCACATTTAAAACAGCCAAAGTGCTTAACAATAGCCAATGGGAGTAATTTAATGATAAAAAAAAAAAAGAAAAACATAAAAACACCAAACAATAAAATGTTAAATCAACTCACACTGTGTTAAACATCAGAGAAAACAGGTGTGTTTTTAAAACAGTAATAAAAGTGGCCTGTCTAATGTTGGGGGGGGGGGGGGGGGGGATTGTTCTCAAGTTTAAGACCCACGACTGAAAAAACTCAATCTCTGAGCTTCAGCTGGTTTTTAGAACAGCCAAAAGCAGCTGGTCTGATGATCTCAGCGCCCAAGAAGGAACATGGTTCAAGTAGCTCAGATAGGTATGAGGGCTAGGCCACTTAGGCACCTAAAGGTCAGCAGGAGAATTTTAAAATCAGTTCTGATACGTACTGGGAGCCAGTGAAGGGAGGACAAAACTGGAGAGATATGCTTAAGCCTACCAGTTCCTGTTAAGAGCCGAGTTGCAGCATTTCAGACGAGCTTAAAGGTTCAGGTAATGTGGGATGCAGCAACATCATCAGCAGACAGCCACATAGGAAACTTGCTGACAGTGACTTATGTTGCTTTTCTTTCAGCTACCCTTCTTCAGGGGGCAAACACACATGCATGGAGGGTTGGGCAATTATTTTACGCCAGATGTCCTTGAAGCAACCGGGGTTCAAATTCACAACCTCAAGACCAAACTAGCACAACCCTGACAGTGACCAAAGTGAAGCGCCTAACTTTTAGCCAATTTTTGGTTTGTTCCTTTTGGACTTTTGTTTTTTACTTCTGTGTATGAACACTTGCCAAAAACATAATTGGGTGTATTGGGCCTGGAAACTGAAGCGTAGGTGAGGTTGAGTAAAGACTTTCTATAAACCGACACCATACTCACTGGTTTGTAACGAATGAGATAGTGTAAGATGGGAGAGCCGCCATCATCCTGTTTAATCCAGCTGACTTTGAGGGAGTTGCCTGTAGGTTGAAGTGACCCTTCCAGTTTGGGAGGATTGGGATTTCCTAAAGGCAGACACAAGAAGGACAGAGGCTATTTACAGACTTCTTTAAAAGACGCGGAGAACTCCAGAGGTTGTTTTGTAAGAAAAGTCAGAGCCAGTTCCATCAGTCCACATGAACATTTTGGAGAAGTTTGGGGAAAAAGTTAAAGGGTTGGAAATGAGGTCCTTCTCCTTCTTGTTGTATTTTTAGGTCATTTGTCTTATGGTGGTGTGTGTCAAGTCGCACTAATTAGAAAGTGACACGTTACCACGTGCCTTTTTGATTCATTGAGTCGCTGTGGTTTGCTGCTCTCGCTCAGTGACGTTCAGTTGGCACAAAACAGTCTGACGTCCCGGCTCGGAAACAAGCCGTCAAACTTCAGTCAGTGGTCAATAACAAAAATGTCTGTCGTTTTCCACGTCTCACTGCGTGACACTTTGACCTACAACAGGTAACACTTGGTGTGTAGCAACAAACGAACATGAAATATTAACAACTCATTGAGCTGTGCTTTGTCTTTTCTTAATTGAAGTCAAACAGGCGACATCAAATTACAGTTTCATGTTGGTACGTTTATGCTGTTAGTCTGTTTGTTGTTAGTGATGATCTGTTTATAATCGGTGGAGTTTCTTAATATTTACTTATAATGTTTGTTATAATTTGTCTATTTAAGTCATTTTACTGTGGGAATGACCTGAATTTGATCTCAATGCACACCACTAGTCTCTTATCTTTTCTAAATCATATCTATAATTATGAGTATCTTTATATTTTCAACAAGAATACAACTTGTCTTTGTGAACAATTAAAATGGACTCTTTTGTTAAATGAGTTAGAAACACTTGCTATAATTTTAAGGGATCACAAGCTCTAACATCATGTGACTTCTAACAACAGTTTGAGATATTTGCTGATATGACAGAGACACAGAAGATGACAGAAAAGAAAGTTTAAAAAGTGACAATATCAAGTTTGTGCTTCACTGACAACTGAACTTCTCATAAATGTCACATTTCAAGACTCGCTTTCGCAAAAGTGTTTTACAGAAGAGTCTTTGCCTCTGTTTTTGTCACAAACTTGTTTTTTTAATCCTCTTTTTAAAATGTGATGCTAATAATAATCTTGTTTTTGAAATGGCATGTAACAAATGAAAATCTTAAATAGAAAATATTTATATTGCTCAACAAATGGATAAACTACAAAAAATGTTAAACTATACTTTTCATCTAATCAACATTTAAAACCCAACAAAAGGTCTGTTTATTATCTGTAACTAAGAAAACCATCACTTTTAAGGAGCTGGAATCCAAAAGTTAGAACAGTTGCCTTTTTTATCAGCAGTAATAATAATAACTGCAGTTATTATAAGTTATATAATTATTATAATTATATATATAATATTATCTATCTATCTATCTATCTATCTATCTATCTATCTATCTATCTAT